AATATTTAAATTTCTTGAAAAATAAAGTTTTAATTTTATAATTATCTTGAAACATTATTAAGTAGTTTAATCTATTTTTTTAATAATAAAATTGCTCTTCCAAGAACATTTTTCACTAAGTTATTATGTTTATGTCCTAATATCACATCTTTTAATATTTTTAGTTGCATTATCATTTCATTCATGATACTTGGGTAATTGTTAATACAAAAAAAAAAATAATAATAATACTTAGGTAATTAGATCAAACTTATCATAATTTCTTCTTCTTTCTCTAAAAATTGGGAGTATGAATTAATGGAAGGAGTTATCAATAGGAAAATTAATTAAGGATGATAAGTATAATATTTAAAAATAATAATAAAAAATAAAACAAACGGGTCAACCCGTCAACCCGCCGGTTGACCCTAACCCGACTCGTAACCCGTACAGGTTGATAATACAGGTTATCTACGGGTTGCGGGTTGAGATATGTAAACCCTAACCCGTTTTTTAAGGGTTGGGTTAAAGTCGGGTTGACGGGTCGGGTGGATTTTTGCCAAGTCTAAACCGGTGGGACTTCGACGTTGAGGTGCGTTATATAATTGTTCAAGGCTTGATAGGATAATGTTGTGTGGTTATTATGTTGATGAGTGATATATAATCCCAATGGTTCATTCTGCTAATTTTATTTAGTTATTTTAAATTTGTTGCAAAAATACATTCTGTAAATGCTTTCCTGTGCTTCACTTGGCAATCTATGTATCTCTTGATATTTATATACAATAATTATAATCTCATGAATATGTGTCTCTGCATGAACAACTCGAAGTTGAGGTGTTGAATCTTATGTGTCTCTTTTTGGCCGGAAAAAAAAAGGAAAAAGAAAAAGAAAAAGGGGAGGGTTGTATCTTTTGCTAATTAAAAGTCAGGGTTTGTTTTGAATTGAGGTGTTGAGAAAGGTTAAAAAATGAGAAGTCAGGTCTTTTGTGGATTTAGGATCTTGGGCCTTAGAAGATCCAATCCACTTTTTTTCTGGGCTGATTCAGATGGCTGACTGATTTGTCATGGATCAATTTCGGTTGTGGTAACTATTGTTTTTTGTCCATAATATTTAGGGTTACTTTCAAATTCATCCTCAACCTTAAGACTCTCTTTTTTTCTTTTTTTGATAAATAAGAGAAATATATAGATTAGCTAATGGGCAGCAACTAAGCGAACACACAGTTCGGATAGAGTCGGAATACAACATAAAAAGAGAGTTCCAGAGGGCTCTCATCCAAAATAACAAAGTCAATGGGGGAGGGAATTCCAAACTTTTGCCAAAAGATCTGTTGCCTCATTTGCTTCACCATAGATAGAGCTAATCATACAGTCAGCAAACCTCTTTATTAGGGACCTGCAATTAGCAATCAATGAACCACAGAATTGTCAATCCGAATTAGCAGAATCGATGAGAATTTTTTGCAGCCTTTGAATCAGTTTCAAGAATAAGATTAGTGATTCCCTGTTGCCCGTTAGTTGCAATTTTCAGTCCATCTCGGAAGGCCTGGAGATCCCTATTCCCTAACCTTTAACCTTTAACCTTAGTTTGGATTTGGTAAGTTGGAGTTATTTTAATAGGAGAAGAAGGGGATGGAGGGAGATAGAATCATCTCCACTTCTCTATATTCATTCCCACAAAATCAAAAGAATTGGAAGGGATTGATTTTATATATTTAATTTAGTTAATTTTTTAAAAATAAATATATAAAAATATTTTATAT